GGTAGTAATAACAATATACATAGAATTAAACGTATATGTAAAATATGGAAAAATTAATGTTTTAGAAGATGATCTCCACTTTTTTGTTTATGTGCCTATGTTAATGGACTTTACAAAATGCAATAGTCATATAAAATTTTGGCGTACATCGAATATACACAGCGTTTTCTACTATTGTCATGTAAAATGGAAAATTATAAATACAATTTTTAGCTCGTTACCTATTTTTGCAGTAATATGAGAAAAAAATGTTGTCAATATAAATGTAACATATGTTGTACGTGTATAACATATCCGCACTGTTTAACTGTATGATATTTATGCATATATTTACCATATAATTCTTTCCCTTTGCGGGACTTAACCTGATGTATTCAAAATGCTTTCAAAGTCAAAAATATGACTTACCAGAATTCCCCTCAAGAAACCTGGACTGCTTTTCATGGAGAGTCCTAAGTCTTAAGTCGGCCCCTGTCTTCTCGTATTACGACCGTTTTATCCCTATATTTTTGGTGGTTAAATGTGTCCCTTACAAAGCTCGATCCCAGAACTTTGTTGGGAAGGATAAACAACCCTTCTAGGTGTGTATGCAGCTGAAATTGTTGTTATGACTCGGCTTTTTCTCGGCTGTTCATGGGTTTTTTTCACCATTAGACGATCTGCTAAGCCTTAAGTTACTTGCCTACGACAACATCGACCCCGCGGCATTGTTAGTTACATCAGTGTTGTACCGAGTTTGAATGATATTAGCGAAAAAGTGCACGTTTTTGTGTTTTTTATAACGATCAATCTACTGGCCAATCGATTTGATACTGGATTCGGACAATATCTTAACATTTATGAAAACAACCTAGATGAAATATTTCTCAAAAAGATAAATTTTAATTAATTATAAATATTTTAAAGTTAATATATTTTATGAGTTTTTTTTTTTGGCTTTTCATTTTTTTTTCAATGACAGGGGCACGGGAGAGAAACAATAAATCTGTGACACCTGGTATGTTATGAAAATGACTTATATTGTAATGTAAACTTCAGGGTTGCAGTAAACACAGTTTTAGTGTCCTACGGTAAGTGTTATGCGGACTGTTATTCATGAGGACTTTAAAAATAGATTGCAATGCCGCCACTGTTGGGGTGTTCTGGTTGGCAAGCATGTCGCAGTCACCTGTCCGTCGAGTAATGGTCCCGTGTACAAAAACTACAGGACCTTCTTTTTCATTCTTTCATGGCTTTTATTGACGCCGATCATAAATGTCTTTGGATTGATGTCGGCTCTTATAGCTCCAAAAAGAAGACCTGTTTTTCCAATGTATCAAAACCGAAGAAATCTCCGACAGTTTCAACAACATACCTGTGTTTAATTTTATTATTTAAGATAAGCCTTGACGCTCATGCTCAATATTACATAGCTGGAGACAACAATCTGACTAAAATAACGCTCCGCTTTAAAATCTGACCGAGACCAAATAGAAGTCATTGGTGGTGACCTTTCACACAGCCAATCATCGGCGAGCTTTCATACTTTTGAAAGCGATACGGTTTGTAATTTTAACCCTGGGAAAACCAATACTGAGTAGGTAATCTTCACGATTTCTAGAACAAGCATGGCGTTGTCCATATAGCTAATAAGTTAACTGGCAAAACAATCTTGCCCCTTACAAATTGACTCTATTATTTCAAGTTAATTTGTTAAAAATTACTTCAAACCATTTTCTTTCTCACAAAAATCAACAATTTGTTTAACCTCCACTGATAACGGTATTTTGATACTTCTTATCATGCCTATCTTACCGATTTAATTGCATGGCTAAAAATAACTTCTAAAAGAAGGCGACACATATACGGTCGTCATCAGATCTACAGGAAAGAAATAAATGGATCTGAATTTGAGTTAGATTGCTGGAGACAATAAACCAAATTTTCAAAATATTTTATAACATCTAGACCAGTGTTTCTGGGGTCAACCAGAGTTCGCTTAATCCGTTTCCAAGTTTTTAACTACAGAACTTCCAGTCAGACACATACATATACATAAGAAAATGAATTTTTCATTGGCAGTAGCTATTTTTGTAGGTAAGCAATGATACCTTAGAGGACTAGTGCTGCCATCGAATTGTGTTTTGGTGTCTGAGTAACATTATGGAGTCATCATAACTTCTTCGGTTGTTGATTTCCAGGCCTCTTAAATAATAAACACGAATTCTCTTGTTTTTGTAATACAATATATGATACGATCCTTATCCATTTAAAATGCAGAAAATATAGTATTGTGTACTGAACAATTGCGTACTTAAACGCCACTTCAAAATGAGAAAATAGACTAAAATAGATTAACATAGAAGTAGTTATATTTGTTTTTGTGCGTCAGCATTACGTCTGTTCTGACACTGACATTTAAGAAAAGTGATTTTTTTTCTTTGATGTTACAAAACCAGCATTTGGCAACTTTCTGGTCCTTCCCATCATATACAAAGGACCTGAAACACAAATGGAAGGATACACCTATTGGAAGAAAATAGAATAGCAGATAACAAACACTCCGCAAAATTATTAATGTAAACTAGCAAGGGACTATTGAAGCACTTAATGTTTTCATGTCGTGTTGAAGTCAGATAAAATGATGTTATTTCAAAGATATAAAATAAAAAAAGTGCATTAATTGCTTCTGTTTACTGATTGAAATGATCCTACAAACCAATTAAAGAGGCTGAGAGGAGAGTGCTACATTTTTGACATGTGTTTTATGATTTATTTTGACCATATGTCAATGGAAATGAAACTTGATTTTGACTGTCAAGTATCTTTATAATTCATAATATTACCGATACACATGTTAAATAATTAGAAATAAATATAAATTTTAAGCAAGAGGTTATGGTCGCTGATTTAGAGTGACATTCTCTCAGCGTACCGCAATGGAGTTTTAGGTTGTAAGGAAGCAATCAACCTCTAGCTAACAGAGGGTGTGTATGTATTATCTACTCAGGTGCTCATCCGAGCCTGAAACGATGCACCGAGGAGCTTTTAGGAGAGGAGTGAGGAATTTCATAAAGTTAAAGACAAAACACACAAAAAAGTAAATATCTGCCATAATTATTGTTTTCTTTTAGACTATGTTGTTTTTGAATCTGCTTGTTGGATCTTCTATCCAACTCTTTTGTCAACAGGCTCATGTTAATTATGAGTAATCGGCGGTGTATTCCGAATGACACAATGTGTGAGATTTTCTGAAATGTTGTTTAAGATAAAGTAGTCCGTCTCTAGCCTCTTATGGATAATGTTTCATTTTGGTAGTGGCGCACAGTTACCTAGTGGCCTATATCTTGTATATATAAATTACAGTGTTCGCAGCGTAACCTAATTTCGTATAGTAACTTATAAATATCATCTGTAATGTATATAACCTATTTAATTATTTAATTTCAGTTATTTGTGCATTTTTCGTGATGGATGTAAGTGTAAAAGTATGTGTCATTATCACTTACATTTGCACTTTACATTATAATTTGTGTAGGCTACCGTTTTGCATGTATATTTTAGTATTTGTTATACCTTTTGAAATTTGAAGACGAAATAGCAAATATTTTAAAATTGTTAAATGTGGACCTATTATTAAGATCGTGATGTAAGGCATAGTTTAATATAATCGTCCGAACAAAGACAGCAGCATTTTCATATTATTGTTATAGGAAACGTTCTGAAATTTGATTCAGTCAAAGCAGTCTGAGGAACAAATTTTTTCTCAATATAAAGAAAAGAATGGTTGTTTCCTAACCTGACCCACGTGGGTCAGGTTAGAGCATTAAGATTTCAAGATAGTTATAACACGTGAAAGTAACTGTCAAATAAGCGACTTGGACTTGTTTCAATCTTACAATATCCACAATATCTGTTTTTTAACTTCCAGGGTTTGTTATTGTCAAATGACTTCTTTTTTAAACTACTCGTTGATTCTGTCTGTGACTTCATTTCGTTCAACATATGGAGATTTATTTACGTTTCAAACTCACATGATATAGTATTTACACGGAAAATAAAACATGCTGGGGACTTTTAAAAACTTCATTCTAGCTTGATTTGAGTTAATATGAGTTAACATGATAGATTTGATATTTTGTTATTCATTTGCCTTGGTTTCCCTTTAACATGAAATTCTGTTGAAAAAAATTCAGCATTAATTTACAGATAAAGGAACAGAAGGACTTTTTTCATATTTTCTTTTTCGACAGACTGTTTAAAATGAGTTGAACCAAGTTCAGTTAGGACTGGAGATAACATTTTTTTCGTCCAACGTAAACATATCCGTGTTGGTAGATTAATAGTGTGGCGAATGACAAAAAAAATAAGTCAAGACTTGTTAGTGAGAACAAATGGTTTATCACATAAAATATGTCATAGTAAAATGTAATAAATATTCTTATGAGGAAATAAATACCCTTTCTGACATACATAAATCTTTATACATAGTTCGTGAAGAAACGGACAAAATCTTTACTAAAACAATTGCGGAAATAATATAATTAATGTATTTGTGAGGGAAAGACATAAAATCATCAAAACATATTGTAAAAAAGCAACGTTATAATAGTGTATCTTTAGTTTTGGCTAACATAAGTTTAAGTAATATGAATTCATTCATCATTTCAGCAAGTGCACTCATAACATAAATTATAAGAATCAATTATTCAAACAACTGTATTACATAAGAAAAAACATCATACTAATCTATTACAGTAATATGAACAATTGATCGTTTTGTAAAGTTCACGGAAATATTAAACGCCTTGTTATTTCATTGTTTAACAGAAAAAAAAACAAATTACAACATTATAAGAAAAGTCAACATTCGCATAAATTTATTTAGTTGCATATACAATGAAATCATTGATAATAGTAGAAAAAATATCGAGGTAACAAAATATTTTTCATTTATGAAGCAAAATTAAGGATTAGAAAAATAATTTGGATTTCATAAAAGAGCAAAATTTTGTATCTTCTTACGCTGCTTTTTCGCAATAATGTCCAGTAAAATTGAATGGACAAGAACATAACTGGTGTCCATCATTTAACACAATGCAACTGCCACCATTTTTGCATTTTAATGTACAACGTTTCTCACAGAAAAGGCCTGTGTAATTTGGCTTGCAAAGACACTGAAATAAGCCATACGCCATAGATTCTCGGTCACAATGTCCATGATAACACTGGAACCCTGGCACGCAGACGTCAGGCTTTACGCTTTTGTCGATCTCTGCGTGTGAGTGGAATTCGGAAAATTTTACATGTTTTGGTGAAGCGGTATTCGCAAACCAATTCTTCCTTGCTGTCTTTATGGCGTTTGGTGTTTCGTAAACATTTGCTGAGCCGAGTAAAACGCTTCCAATGGCTTTCAACATTGATGATGATCCTACTTTTGGGGACGGTTTAGATTGGTTTTGTGCAAGAGAGTCGCATCTTGCCCCAAAGTATCCTTCGTTGCATTTACAATAAAGTATAGATCCTTTTCTAGCACATGTCCCATGAGTTCCGCAGTCATACGGACATTTCAGTTTATCACATAAGGTTCCTTCATATCCTGTGAAACATTCACAAACTATTCTATATTTTTTCAGTTCGCTTTCTTTACAAAACCCATTAACGCAGCCAACCGCTTTGCACAGTTTAGTGTTATCAAAAACAACATGTCTCTTGGCTCGAAGTTTTCTTGTAGCGATATTCACATTGTAGCTTTTATCAAGTCTTTTAGTTCCTTGGACAAACATACAGGTCATCGCCATTATCAGAGCTATTTGCAGCTGTTTTAAAAACTCCATATTTCATTTATTTGTAGTTTCTAAGAGAAGTTAGCAAAAGTTTCTCCTACCAGCGTTTCTTTCCTTTTTCTGTATGTGCAGTTTCGCATCTATTTTAGCATCAATTATATTAACTATTCTTGTAGATCAATTGTAATTAATTAACTCATACAAGTTAATGTTATTTTCGACTTAATTCAATCACTATTTATTTCTTTATAACAATTGTCGTCTGCTTTGGATATTTATCCAATTTGCCTTGTATTTCCGCGATCTGATCTCAGATGCAGTTTAAAAGCTGATGAAGACACGAAACTTCATTCGACTTATTATATAGTCATACACCTGTCATAGTTATTGTCGACGAATTACTCTTGTTAATTATTATGACGTTATTACGGGAAAATACGATGTAAACATGAGTTATCATATGAACTACTCGAACCGCCTCGTAGCTTGTTAATGAGATGTATCTGTCAGTTGGCTGATACGCTATGTATCACCTCCCACAACACAATAGGGAAGTGAAGCTGTAGCAAAGATCATAATCGCTTAGTAAGTGACAAACGTTTACAGTTTGCAATATTTCTGATTTAAGATTTTGAGATAATTTTGTTTAATATTCTATTTACCGTTGTACTCAGATTTTCATTTCCTCACGTTTTTTGATGAATTACTGACTTCATATTGATAAATTGTTAAACGACCACAATAAAAATTATTTAACAAAAATATTTCACTTTTTATTGACGTGTGGCTTTTCTATATAATATCCTATTTATTTCATGAGTGATTCGTAATAAAGCACAATACAGAGACTTTTAAAAATGAAATATAAATCTATATGAGTAAACAAGGATTTTTAAAAAATGAATTGTCTTTTCTAAACAGGGAATTGATTTAATTAAGACTAATGAGGCGATTTTTGTCTATTGTCCGTTTTTATGTTCGCTAGGACTTGGCAAAAATATATAGTCAAATTTCCACATTCCTAAGACATTGTCTGATTGCTTTATTGCTTTAATTTTTCTTTTTCTTTTTTCCTTTTTGTCCTTTTTTATTGTTTAAAAGATGATGACGGTTAATGTAAAAAAATCAATAATAAAAGACAAATACACATAATATTTTTTCTTATTCCAGCTGTCTTGCAAGATCAACTTTATACCAAACAGTCATAAAATTGCTTGTATTATAAATATCCTCAGTATTAAAGTAAGCATTAAAACAGCAAAATTACATAAAAATTGCAGACTCGGTTTGATTGAGTCTGTACATGAGGGATAATGAAAAGGTGCAATATCCCTCACGCCCTGCGCAGCCTCAATGCTCACCACTTAAAAGTGCTGGACTAAATGATATCGAAGGACCAGAAAATATAACAGACATAGAACGGTCATAGAACGCAACTGCATAAACAAACATCAAGATATACAGGACTACTAGAATGGCACCAAGTGGACACATGACAGGCACGGGGTAAAAAGGGAGGAAGAGTGGAGTGGGAGAGTGAATACAAAACAACAGAATTGAGATAATTGACAATAAGAAATTTACAAGATATAATGCAAATGATCAGAAATATAAAAAAGGCAACGGGTGTGCAAGAAAAGAAGAGAAAGAAAGGCAATACCAAGACAAGGTATCCAGCGAAACATCTAAGGACGCCATAATACAAAGATATAGCATGTTTTAACATGACAAAACATGCGTAAAGTAATCCGGACGGTAGTATAGTATTTAACAATATTTTGGATCTCAGACAAGTTAAAGATGTACGAATGTTTACGAAATTCTTCTTTAAACCTTCTTTAAAACGAGACAGTGAAAATTGATCTTACCTTTAAAAAGTGAAGACCGGAAACTTAAAGCCTTCCAATAAAACAGTTGAACATTTTATAGGCTTGGCTTTACTAAAATAGAGAAAAACAGAATCCCTAAAGAAAGCCCAACACGGCAATATTGAAAATGTTGCAGGCTCGGTTTGAGTCTGTTCATGGATGGTACTGGAAAGTGCAAGTTACCGTCCACGCCCCCTAGCACCGGCTTAAGCAGAATTCAACATTTAAACACGAAATGGTGAAATTATTAATTTAGAAACATCCACAGACGTGTTAATACGGCGGTTATGATGGAACCTTCGCTGTGACACGCTAGTGCCACACCATTTAAAGCGGCGTATGGTCCCCAAGTAAAAGAATGCGTGTGTCCTAAACGAGAATACAATGGGTGGAACTAAATAAAATGAAATTTTGAAAGGAGATCTGAGGTTATAAAGCTCATGTTCGTGTTAGGCACTAGTTATGCAAGCTAAAACCAACTCCTGACTTAGCAGACTTCAGCATTTAAAATTTAGAATAAAGGAGAATCTGCGGCTGTAATTCGTTCTTGCCGTTAAAAGACGGGCATTGTCCCCAGTAAAAGAATGAGTATTCTATTAAAAAAAGGAACTGAATAAAATGGAGTTTTGAGAGGGATTCGTAGGTTTTGAAGCCCTCGTATCTTAGAAAATTTTAAAAATGTTATATGCAGGAATATTCAATATTATTCAAAAACATTTACATACATGTTTAAAAAAATAGTGAGTATTGGCAGTAAGAAAAAAGGCAGATATTCTCATATGGTGGCGACATTGTAAAAAGAAAATAAATTAAAATATGACGTAAATTAATAACCCATATGGACCCGAAAAGGCAAGAAGAAGAGGGAAATAAAACCAATGCAGTAACTTGCATTGATGTTTGCTCTAATTTGAAAGAATAAACATGTTCTTAGTTACTTTTCTTGATTTTATATTTAAAAAATGCACCCAAACTTGCAATTGGTCCATAATGCAGATAATGCAGGCAGGGCTAAATATATCCTTGTAAAAGTTTTAACTCTGATTCTCATACTATAAAAAAGTGTTTGACAAATTGCTTCATAACTTTCAGAACATTATGATAAAGCTATCTTCAACAAAAGCTATGACTAAGTATGTAGATCAACTTATGCTTCGTAAATTTGAACATTATGTAACTTCCAATATAGCGTCGACATCGATTTATATTTTATCATGTCTATGTTTACAGTCAAACTATTAATCAGTTATTTAATGAGTTAAACACCAGTGAAAGGCAATAAGACATAAAACTATTTTCAGCAACACTAATAAAAATAGCACGTACACTTAGGCGATGTCAATGTGCAATCTTTCGATTTGATGCGTTCCTATTGGCTCTGTATATTTTATCACTTCGTGAGTCAGTCAACATTTCAGAAGTGCTTAGCTATTTGATTGGACACACATAGGCAGACAAGAGGCGTACAGGCTTCACTTAAGCTGTCACCACTCAATAATAATTTCAAAATTTATGCGAACATATTTAAGCCTATACACGTGAGGACTGATCATAAGAAAATGGAAATAAGCTTCAATAAATGCAATATTACATGACAGTGATCGGTTGCGACACTAGATATATTCCAAAAATGTTTTGTTTTTGTTTTGTTCGTTGGGCTTTTTTAAAGAAGAGTGTTATTTTCAGCATCTTATTCAGAATTTGCTAATATACCTTTTACGATAGTGTAGTTGATTCAAGTGCACGAAGGCATTTCCTTCGGACCTGCAAAAATGTTTTAAGCACATTAAACTGCTGTTTCTTTATAAAGTGAAATGAAATTATTCGGTTGCAAGTCAATTATTGCTTTAGATAATGTCTTGAAACATTATTCATTTCACTCTTCTCGACCTGAATATCTTTAATAGATTTGTCCGTACTTTAATCCGAGCAAAGCCGTTTATTATTTTGAAGGGACATTTTCATAATAAGTACTGTATAAATGGCGAACAGTGCATCCATAATCACACGACACGGACAATAGGCTATGCGTTAACTAACTAAAACATGCAAAAAGGCAATTATTCTTATACTTTGCAAACTATTTTAAGTAAATATAAATAAGGTTTCGGTTCAGCAATAGGTTTTTTTAAGAATTATGATTGATTTAAATGTCTCCTTAATTTTTTTTACAAAAATATACAATAATTCTAAATTTATTTTGCTACATACAAAGTTAAAAAAACGTAATGAGAGTCCCAACGAAAATAAATATAAATACAAGAGACTCGGATCTTTCAGGTTTTCGTTTCTAACCTTACGAATTTTCAACATACTATACCCTCGTCTATACAAGGGCCATAACATTATCAGTAGAAAATAAAATGTTGATTTTTATTCTGTAAAGATATGCCAATAGTTATAATAACTGCTTAAGAATATGATTCATTTAAAAACGAACAAAAAAGAGATACCATCCATGTTGTACAAACCTAGGACAATAAATATATGTATGACTGTCCTTTAAGCGCAGGTTCTTGTTGACACTTGTCTTTTTACACCTGCCATATTCTTAATGTCTGACAGATTTATTTGGTATCTTTCAAAACAGGACACGAACAAAATCGATAAACTAACATTTTTACCTAGAAATATTTTGATTGTATTTGGGTTCTGAATACCACCCACGGAAAATATAAATGTCGCTTGAAGGAAAAACAGAAAGAAATGGACAAAAAAAAGCCTGAGCACGGAATCAAAATGTATGGGACAGAATTTATGCAAGAATTTGATATTTAGTTTGGATAACAATTTGAATAACAAATTTATTTTAATACAACCAGGTAATATCGGAAACTGCCGACAGCTTACAAGGCTTGCATAGACATTAATTCCACTTAAAAAAGAAGACTGCACTTCATATCGTTAACGAAAAGGGTAAAGAATCATAAAAACAATAAGAAATGTAGGAAATAGAAAATCCCAGTTAAGTCATAAATTACTGACTATTTTCCGTTGTAGAAAAACAACGAAACATACTATGAAATAGATATATCCTGATATCATTTATTACGAAATAATCATTATTTTTATGGCAATAAAAAGGTTTATCACTGCAACTGACACGGAATCCTTCTTTTGCAGGCTTATAAACGAAACCGAAGATGT